GGGGGGGGTGGGGGTGGGGGGCAGGGCTCTCTGTTTTGGAATGCAAACGACTCCAAGTCAGTTCTTGGGGCCCAGAATCAAGGTGGACAGGACCGGTGGGCTTATGTGTTCAGAGAGGCCTGTGCCAACAATTCTAAAATCTTCTCTTTCTCCACCCCCTGCCTGCGTCCCCGGCCTCCCAAAGCCCCTTCTCTTAAACCTCCCCAACCAGGGAGCCTCTGAAACTCACCTTATCATCCAGATTAAATTCTTTCTCGCTCACCACCGGGGAGCTGGGTTTGGATTTGGCAAAATCCTTGAAGCTGCTGGAGCGCTGAAGTGAGAGCTGAAAGACCAGAGGTGTTGAAATCAGTAGGTGGAAATGGTTGCCAGAGCAGCAACAACCCCACCCCCACCCCCCCAGCACCGCCCTTGGGCAAAGAAAGCCACCTATGCCTTGAGGGTACAGAGCTGCTAAGAGGTGAAGTGTCACGATATCCTTAGACTTCTCGACTTCCAGCTACCTGGTTTCAGGCTACGCTTTAACCCTGGCTGAAAACCTGGATCCAGCCCAGGGCCTCAGAGTCAGCTGGCATTTCTCTCACCCCCTGCCTTTTGCTGTTTAGAAGCTGGGAAGCTTGGCGTGAAAGGTTAAATGAGGCCCAGTGAAGATATTACTACTGCTAAAGATACCACGGCTGGAACAATGGGCTGAGGCATAGGAGCAATTGTGAGGACTCCGAAGGACCGTGCAGGGCTTCCTTCTGTTGTGCATAGGGTCGCTATGGGTCAGAACTGACTCTCTGGCACAACATAAGACATAGTTCAGTGTACACAAGAATGTCACCTTTACATCCCAGGCATCAGTTGCTGGGGAGTCAACTCTGACTCATGGGGAGCCCATGCGTGTCAGAGTAGAACTGAACCCACGGGGGTTTCAATGACTGCTTTTTCTCTTTCTCAAAGTGTTAACAGTTCTATTGACATTTAGTTCACATATCATGCAGTTCAAATGTAAATATCTCAAGAATTGCGCCATCATCGCCATGATCCATTTTAGAGCATTTTCTTCTTTCTTGTACTCATTATTAGTTCCCCATTTCTCCTCAACTTCCCCTGACATGCCCCCAAGATATTATTAATCCAGCTACTGCTTCTATAGATTTACTTACCTTGGATTTCACATAAAGAAAAACCTTCAAATCAACAGCACTCCCCAAATAAAACATAGAAAAACCTTAGTTGAGAAAATGCCAGGAAGAAAAATAAAGAACTAGAGCAAATTTAAAATAGGGTGGAAAGGAGAACAAATGATAAGGTGTTAAATTTCAACCTAACTACATCTGTATTAGTCCACTTCCCACTCTGTCTGAGAAGAAGTCTACTCACATTCCTGGCCAATGGTCAGAGGGGATTCATTGGAGGCTTAATCCGAGTGAAGACCCTGCAAATGAACTTGGGGCTCTTTTTTTTTTTTTAGAAATCATTTTACTGGGGGATCGTACAACATTTATCACAGTCCATCCATCCATCCATTGTGTGTCAAGCACATTAGTACATTTGTTGCCCTCATCATTCTCAAAACATTTTTTTTCTACTTGAGCCTTTGGTATCAGCTCCTCATTTTCCCCTCCCTTCCCGCTCCCCCCTCCTTCATGAACCCTTGATAATTTATAAGTTATTATTATTTTGTCATCTCTTACATAGTCGGACATCTCCCTTCATCCACTTTTCTATTGTCCATCCCCCCAGGGAGGAGGTTATATGTAGATGCCTGTAATCGGTTCCCTCTTTCCACCCCACCCTCCCTCCTCCCTCCCGGTATTACACTCTCACCACTGGTCCTGAAGGGATCATCCGCCCTGCATTCCCTGTGTGTCCAGTTCCTATCTGTACCAGTGTGCATCCTCTGGTCTAGCTGGATTTGTAAGGGAGGATCGTGATCATGATAGTGTGTGTGTCGGGGGGAGGAAGTATTTAAGAACTAGAGGAGAGTTGTATGTTTCATTGCTGCTACCCTACACCCTGACTGGCTTGTGTCCTCTCCATGACCCTTCTGTAAGGGGATGTCCAGTTGCCTACAAATTGGCTTTGGGTCCCCAATCTGCGCTCCCTCTCATTCACAATTATATGATTTTTTGTTTTTTGATGCCTGATACCTGACCCCTTTGACACTTCGTGATCACACAGGCTGGTGTGCTTCTTCCATGTGGTCTTTGTTCCTTCTGAGCTAGATGGCCGTTTGTTTACCTTCAAGCATTTAAGACCCCAGATGCTATATCTTTTGATAGCCGGGAACCATCCGCTTTCTTCTCCAGATTTGCTTATGCACTCATTTGTCTTCAGCGATCGTATTGGGAAGGTGAGCACGCAATGATATGATTTTTTGTTCTTTGATGTCTGATACCTGATCCCTCACTGTCATTCATAGCCTTCTGCAAACTGGTTGCTCAGAATTTAAGCTCCAATACCGTTCCCTTTTCTGGTTTTGGATTTTACTATTATAATCCTTGGATCACATGTGCTGGTGTTTCGTCCCTCTGTCTTTAGCTATCACCTTACTTAGATGGCTGCTTGATTTAAGACACAGTGGCTGCTTTTTCAGAAGGAGATTTCCAGGCCATTCTTCCAAGGCACCTCTGACTGAACTCAAAGCTCCAACTTTCTGGTCAGCAGCTGAGTGTGTTAATCTGTTTGCACTTCCCAGAGGCCTCTACATTTTTCTAACTAAGAGCAAACCCCTCCCAAACCCGGTGGCTCTGGTGGATGCAGAGCATCATCTCCAATCATATCTAAATATTCTGGGGCTTCCAGCCTGATACATCTATGTCCCAAGAAGAACAGGGACATCTCACTAGGAATCAGCAAGACCTGGGATTGCACTTTCTGCAAAACCACTCAACTCACTAACTCACTGACATCGAGTTGATTCCAACTTATAGTGATTCTTACCCTATAGGATATGGTAGAACTATTGAAATTCAAAAATCCACTGCCACAAAGTCGATGCCCACTCAGAGTGACACTGTGGGACAGAGTAGAACTGCCTCTGTGAGTTTATGAGGCTGTAACTCTTTATAGTTGTAAAAAGCCTTGATGTTTTTCCATGGAGCGGCTGGTGGGTTTGAACCGCTGATCTTTCTGTTAGCAGTCCAACAAGTTACCCCTATGCGACCAGTACTCCCAGTATAAAACTACAGAAAAGGCTTATTCACAAAAGGTGCCCAAAGACTTGGGACACAAATAAACTGCTGCCATTCCAATTCACAGTGACCCTAGAGGACAGAGTAGATTTGCTCCATGGGTTTCTAACACTGTAAGAAATTTTCATGCCTCAATATTTTGCTCATAGAGCAGTGGGTGGATTTGAATCACCAACCTTTTGGTTAGTAGTCCGCTGCTTGACTTGCTGCTCCACCAGGGTTCCTGGGACACAAATACTGGGGGCTAATTTAGTAAAAGAAAACCACCATTTTTTTTCTTTATCAGCTCCACGTTTAACTGTAGCCACCAGTGCGATGAGTGGCTACCCTTGGTGGTTTCCTGTGTTTGGACTTTGGGGCATGACTGATTGTTTGTGTTGATGATAGTTTTATCTTCTTTCAGGAAATGAACTTCCTTAACTGTATATTCATGTGCATGCCAAGATAGCAGCTAGAAACCAGGGTAAGGTAGGTGAGGAGATTTTAGACACAAGAAGTTGAGGCAGAGTCTGCTATCAAGATAAACAGTCAAGGCCAGAAGATACATACAGGAACCAGGGGTCACAGATGACCAGACAGATAGAGTAGGATAGACTGCAGACACCAGAGATAAGGGCTTGAGGAACTAAAGCCTGAAACCCACACAAAGCTGAAAATTTCACATCCTCTTTCCTATTAAATGGTGTGTGCGCGTCAGGCAGTGTCCAGTGATGAGCCCTCAGACAGGGGCAATATCACCTACCACTCTGTTCCCAACACTCAAACAACTGGCTCCAACTTCTGAGGATTGTAATGTAGCAGTTTAGCACTCTTGGTAGGTCTTGACCAAAAAACCAAGGCCGCAACCAGGGGTAAGGCAGTTGACTGGGAACTAGGTTCGAAGTCATGCCAGGCAGACACTACCACTACGAGGGCCTCATGTGTGGAGTGTGCCTGTGGCCTCAGCCCCAAAGTCTCTTAGGTGCTCTACTGAAGAGCTGGGGAAAGGGGGCTGTGAGTGTCGGGGGAGAACGGGGAAAGCCTGACCATGGGGCGCCCACTCCGTTCCCATGCTTTGCCATCTTCCTTCCCAGGTTTTCTCTTGCCACTGTCTCTTTCCTCTTTTTCTCCCATTCTTTTCCTCGCTTTCCTCCGCCTTCCACTTACTTCCTGCCCTTGTGCAGCTAGCGAGGATGCAGCTGCCTGGATAACTTCCCTGTCTTAGTGTCTGGCAAAGAAGGAACAGAGAAAGGGTGGCACTGGGCTGGCTTGGGTCCCCGGAGGGCAGACAGAGCTATTTATATGGGTTGATGGGGCCTCTTGTGGCCTTCCCTTCACCACCCCACAGCCCACTCCGCAGACCAGGAGGCTGGACATCACCTGTTACTCCATGGAGGGCTGAACCTGGAAAGCAAGCTGAAGGGCAAGTGTGGGCTCAGAAGTAGGCTTTATTGGGGAAGAGTCAAGTCACTGTCCAGCTGCTCTCGAATTGCAGCTCTTTCCCCTGTCCCTCCCTGTCATTAATCTGTAGTCTAGGGGCTGGGACGGGCAGCATTTGCCTTCCAGGGTCTTGTTTTAGGACCCCTACATACCAGCTTTCCAACAAAGCTGGAGGGGACAATTCAAAGGGTACATGGAAATGGTACTGGGGCATGGGCTCAAGCGGCTACTCAGCCCAGGGAGATGGAAAGGCCTAGAAGAGGGGTCCTTAAACTATGGCCCATGGGCCACATGCGACCCACTGAGGATGTTTATCCAGGCCGCCAGGTGTTTTTGCCCCATTTTGTTTTTTACTTCAAAATAAGATATGTGCAGTGTGCATAGGAATTTGTTCATAGTTTTTTTTTAACTATAGTCTGGCCCTCCAACGGGTCTGAAGGACAGTGAACTGGCCCCATTTAAAAAGATTGAGGACCCCTGGCCTAGAATGTTCTCTGGGTAACTAAGGGTAGGAAGCATCCAGAGTGCTCCTTTGATGAGTCTACGTCCAACCTCAGGGACATCCCCAAAGTGATCCCAATCAAGGATGAGTTGACATCCTTTTGTGTCTTTTTGCTTATATCCGAAGGTTAATACCCGAAGGGTGAGTGGTGTCCTATATATTCACAGTGCTTGCCTCTCAGACATAATTACATTTCTGATGGTAGACTAAGTTTAACTCTGA